GGATGGATGTACAGCTCCTTTGTAAATTCCCCCAATACACAAGCTTCATTGAATCCATTGTTTGATGCTTCTGTACCTTAATACAGTACTTGCTATTTCCTTTGCTTGGTTTCACCACATCTTACCTTGCTTTAAAAGATACATCTCTCATTTCATCTCTGTGAATCCCTTTGCCAGTGGTCTCAGGTAGAGTTAGTCCTTTGCTTCGTACCACATCAAATTGTGCTTTTATTGCTCGCTAGATTCTTTCTCTAGAAAGAGAGGGTTCTTGAAGCCCTTTTGTATTTAACTCAAGCTACCTGAGTCATTATTTGCTGAATCTAAAGTAGTAAAGGCTTTTCAAAGTTCAGGTGGTCAAGTAGATGGAGATACTATTAACTGAAACAAACTACTAATTTTGGTTTTCAGCCTGTTGAGTTGGAGATATTAATGTTACATTTAGAAAATGTTCAAGATATAGCTGAAAGTAGGAGAAAGCAGGAAAAACAGATTTGTCACTAAGAAGTGACAGTCCAAATCATAGAAGTTGTTCAAATGACACAGAATGAGAAGACATGTGAGAAGATAGTTGTACTAGTGACTGGCAGATAGGGAACAAAAAAGGAGATGAAACTGAGAGGAATTAATTTTTTTCCTCTTCAGTATGACCTGGAAAAAAAATTAAGGGAGCAGAAGCTACATATTTTTTTCTCAGAAGTTATATTTTGAAGCATTGTATATGTGTGATTCTTTTAAAAATCAGATTAATATATATTTTTAAGAATGAACAGAATATTATATTTTCATATAGTATTGATTCCTAGCCTTGACCCTCTGAAAGTGGCTTCTACACTGTGCAATAGAAAGTTTTAATGTAAAACTGGCTGCAATATTATATTATTGCAATTGCTATGTATTGAGATCAAATAATTCATTATTACTTTCAAGGGGTAAGAATGTTATGTTTTTTTGCCTCTGGGGAGGGGGACGATTATTTTCATAAGAGAAGGAAGGATTCAGTGCTTTCTTTGCTTGTGGGTTTCCTCTTGTTCACTTTTGATCTAGATATTGGTGGTTATGTTCCAGTCCTCCTGCATATGCCCAAGAGGATTGGGAGTGGACGGACAGCAGCAGAAGCACCATTTATTCCTGTAGAGATTAGAAACAAGTTTATTTCCCTTCTTGTCAAGGCTCAGGACAGAGAGGAGGAAGAAACGAGTAAAAAGGTTTTGGTTTTGGAAAGAAGTTGGAATCTCCTGACCCTGGGACATTAAGATCCACAAAATTGCTGAAAGAAAAAGTACTACCTTATTGAAAGGTAAGATATTGAAATGTTTTAAGGTTTAAGCTATTTTAGCCACATAAACATATTTTCATAAACTGAACTCAAGCAGTCATTTCTGCCCACCCAAAATTTTTGTGACATAATCACCAGCATTGCTGGTGAAAAGGAGACCTATGTGGCTGGAGAGATATGTATAGTGAGGGAATATATTTACAACATGTCACTCTGTTTTGAAAGGACACTTACTGAATGCCAGGCACTGTGGTAGGCCTTTGATATAAAGAGATTAATGAGTTACCCTATCTACCCTCTAGAAATGCTCTTTTCAGGACAAAAAAACCTGATGATTATAATGTGATAAGTGCTATAATTAATAGATGCTAAGTGTAATGAGTGGTCCAGGGATTGGAGGTGTAGCTCAGTGGCAGAGTGCTTACCTAGTACATGTGAGGCCCTAGGTTAGATCCCCCGCACCCACAACAATGAACAAACAAAAAATAATGAGTGGTCCAACTCCATGTGAGGCAGTAACATCCATATCCTTTAGAACCCCATAATGTTGGAAGAACGAGATGGGCTTCAAGTTTAGGAGAATGACATATTCAAAGATATAGGTGTGAGAAAGCATGTTGTATTGGAAGGATTTACCAAATGCCAGGATTTGTTATCTGAATGGTTGCTATGAGTAGAAGAGGCAAGAGTGGTGTGGGATGTTGTTAGATAGGAAAGTTTGGGCCAGATGTGGACTTTGTTGCATGCCGAAGAAATTTTAATTTTGGCCATGGGGAAACATTGAAGATAAAAACAGGAAACTGTGGGCTTGCCTTAGTTCTGAGAAGGGTAGGAGAAAAAATAAATATGGTGTTACAATACAAATGTACCTTTCTAATGGAGTCTCCAAAAAAGGATGGTCCTTCTTATTCCTTTTGCTTTTATGCTAATATTTCGGTATCCTTATGTTCTAAACATTGTAGGTTACTAAAAGAGTAGAATTTTTACTTAGAATGTTGAGAACTCTTGACTTTTACCTATCTGTACCAACTTTGAATACCTTCTAAATTGTATGCATGCCTCAGCCAAAAGATCTTTTTCTTCATTCTGAATAGAAAACTGCAAACCCTACAGTGAAAATTAAATCGACCAACTAACTGCTACAAGAGGAGGTGGCCAACTTCCTAGTATCTAATAATGACCAATATAGAATCATTAATTTATGGTGACCTCAGGAAAATAAGCTCCAAAGAGAAGTAAGGTTGCCTCTGAGACCTTTTGTAGGACACCTTTTGTGTTTGAGAACTTACTAGGGCACCTTGAATGGACCCCACAGTTCTGCTTGCAGTAGACAAACCACACAAGGGATAGATTCTGGAGTTGTTGGTGCTGGAGCATTAGCTTACTGTTCTGTTAGAAGAGCTTGGTGAAGTCACAAATCTAGAAACAGTAGGAAGATGATGACCCTGGGAGTGAAATGCTTAAGGAGGGATGATAGTTCCATTCTATGGAATGTGATCTTCTCTAAGAACAAAGAGAGAATAGCCATGGGACACAGGATGTCCACATACCAGGTACATGCAAAGGCCTAACTGTATACTTCACCCAGGAAGAGTACAGCCAGCCAAGATGGGTGAAGGGCTCTGCAGCAGAGTAGGGAGTGATTCTGTACGGTTGTAGGAATCTAATCTCAGTGTGGCATTTAGTTTCAAAATTACATGTAATCTAGTTGGAGCAAGACTAAGTGGCATTTAGCTCCAAAATTACATATAATCTAGTTGAGCAAGAACTGTATTTCAGAAAACATCTGCCAATATTGGAAGGCTAAGTTAAAAGTCAAGGGTTTCAAGGCAAAAGCAGGATATTTTTATAAAATGAGCCCCCAAAAAGCAAAAAATGGAGAGAGGATGAACAATGCTGAAAGGATACCTTTATTAAAAAATGAGACACACCAAGAGATGTGGACTTTAGTCCTCAGGACTATCTGTGTGACCTCTGTGAAGATTTACTTACCCTTTCTAGGTTAGAAGCACTGTAATATGATGATGACTTAATGAAGGAATAATGGATTGATAGTTGAGGCATATGGCAACAGCTGCAGGAAAATCCTTTCTGGCAGAAGACTAGGGGTGAACTGGAAAACAGTATCAGCCTGGGCTGCTTCTCATATTATAGGTACTTTGACCTCAGTATACTGCCATAAAATTACCTTTTTTTGTTGTTTGGTGGTACTTAGGAATTTGAAGCCAAGGGCCCATATACTGTGTTATGTTCCCAGCCCCATTTATGTTTTTTAAGAACTAGGTCTTGCCAAGTTGCGAAGTTCCCAGGCTGGGCATGAACTTCTGGTCCTCTCGCCTTAGCCTCCCAGAGTCCTGGGATTATAAGCATGAGCCTGTAAGCCTATCTAAATTCAGAAATTTTAGTAGAAAATACATGATAATTTTAGTTAGCATAGGGAAGATTTTATCATTAGTAAGCTTCTTATTTTGAAACTATGAAACTACATATTGAGGGACTCAGAAGGAGTCTCTGAACAGACCCCAAAGCTCCTGTCTGCAGTGACAAGGCATTTGGTTAGATTTTGAAGTGCTCTTAGCTTAGAACATACTTTATGAATATTGAATAGTTTAACCTAGAAAGAAATTCTCTAAGTTAAAAAAAGATTTTTTCACAGTAAATGTAATCATTATATACTGCAAACATGTACTAATAAAAAAGTTTTTGTTTTGTGAGGATTTCTACTACACTCACATATAAAGAATTCATTTTATTTTAGTCTTTGACATTGTTTTGAAATGAGACAGACTGAAAAATAGGTTTCCTGTGGGATAAAAAGCAAACAATAACCTAGATTACTAATTCCTCAACCTAGGTAGCTCAATAAAACATTGCATTTATGTGGTAGGAATTGATTAGAATTAGAGAAGATTTTTAAGAAAAACTTTGTGAACATTCATAACAGGATATCATACTGTAATTCTTTCAATGTGTTTATATGATTAAGAAAGATATGTTATTTATAGACTGGGCTGTGACAATGTACATTAGTAAAATACAACATGTTTGTAACATGCTTTATACAATGTATGTCATTTAATATTCAAAAGAAGTTAAAAATATTAGGGCAGAAAGTGCTGTCCCTTTTTAAAAATGAAGAAGAATGAAGCTTTTAGAAGCTTAATATTTTGTCGAGGGTCACAAAAGCTAGACTTTGACCATTATACTGTAGTGACTTCACAACGTTTCTGTGGGATTATTATAATTGAGTTCAAAGGCACAGACTGTTTTCCGATTCCACTTGCAATAGAAAAATTTCTACACAAAGTTGGAATATAATTGTGAGTATATTTAGGATATAAACATTTTTTTCCATCAACAGTTTTTGAGTAGGTGTTGTCATGTGCTTTAAGTTGTAGGAACATAGTGCTATTCTTATTAGCACCACAGCATTAGCTAAAAAGGCATGGTTAGGTAATTGTTGTTAAAAATATTACAGTTTTGCAGGAAGATCAGTAATACTCAAGAATTTGAAGACTATTTTTATTATGCCTTTATAATGAATGTGAAATTTCTACAAGTAAATTTATATATGCCTTTGAAGAATAATGGGAAGTACTTTTATTTTGACAGTTTTAAAATTCAGAATAATTCTACAAATTATAAAATTGTAGACTTACCAGATTATAAACTAAGATCATTTAATAAAATGTCCTATGAAATTGGCTACCTTGTCATTTAACAGGATGAAGAAACACGGAAAGATTATGACTACATGCTGGATCATCCAGAAGAATACTATAGCCATTACTACCACTACTATAGCAGGCGCCTTGCTCCCAAAGTGGATGTTAGGGTAGTGATTTTGGTCAGCGTGTGTGCTATTTCAGTGTTTCAGGTGTGTATCGATTTATATGTGTATTTCTGTGTCTGTGCATGAGTACATATTGCCTACTGCTGGTCACCAGAACTGCATTAAAAGCCTTTACATAAAATTTTGTTTCCAGTTGAGATTAATTTTGTTTTTTTTCTGGTACTGGGGATCAAACTCAGGACCTTGCACTTGCAAGGCAGGCACGGCACCATTGAGCTAAATCCCTGGCCCAAGAGATTAATTTTTTGTACTAGAAAACTATTTATTTCAGCAACTGAAGGTGTTGGTATTTTTGTCAGTGGGAAATCTGATGATGAGTGTTGTTCTGTAACTACACCCTTCTCACCCCTACCACCACCAAAACCAGGTCTTTTCTCATGCTCCCTGTAGAGTATTTGTTGTATGATAGCCAGATCATGTCTTTTACCTTTGTAGAACTTTTCAGTGATCTCTTGAAAACTTGGGGAAAATGAGAAGTCCTTAGTGTTGCCTAACAAGTCCTGGCTCCCATTCACAATGCCGGTAGTACTTGCCACCACTGTAGCAATCAGAAGTGCCACACACATTTCCGCACGGCTTCCAAAGATGTTGCTGCTTAGCCTGGAGACCACTGAAAGAGATTAAAAGCGATACAGTAACTTTGTGTGTTGTTTTAAAATATCTCAAAAATTTAATGAGTCTTTCCTATTACTCTTAAATTAGCCACATCTGTCACAAATCAAGTGACTAGAATGAAGCAATTTGCTAGTTTGAAAATTACTTCTCCAGGTTAATTTCCAGAAATGATATTCAATTTTTATAATAAAACAATTCTTATCAAAGAGTAAGGTGGAACATTTTAAATGTATCTGTGCTTTTCTAGAAGTATTAGCCTTTCAAAGTGGGACAGCAAGAGATAATAATTTTTTAATTTTTTTTGTTACTGGGGATCAAACTCAGGACCTTGTGCTTGCGAGGCAGGCGGTGGAACCACTGAGCTAAATCCCCGGTCCTTCTTTTTTGTTTTAGATAGTGTAATACTCTAATAACTTTTTTCTTTATTTTTTGTGTAGTATCTAATAAACTGTTGCTATAATATTTCAGGATATTTATAGTGTAACGGCTGTGTTCACTGTACTATGTAAGATGCAGTTTTCTGACAATAAAACCCTTTGTGCTTGACTATGGTTATGAAGTAAGTTAATGCTTTGCTGTCCCAATAAAGAGTTCAAACATATTTGAATCTTTCAGTTCAAAATATGGTATGTATTACTGTGGTATATGTAGATGGCTCACGAAAGAGAGAAAAATGATACAGTTGCCTTAATCTCTATCAGGGATGGCAAACCTTTTCGAGACTGAGTGCCCAAACTGCACCCCAAAATCTACTTATTTATCGCAGAGTGGTAACTGTGCAGTTAACCTGAAATTCCAATACTCGGCTGCTGGGGCAGCTTGGCTTGCATGCTGACAGAGAGGGCTCTGGGTGTCCAATGCTGCACATGTGCCATAGGTTCACCCCTACTAATCTAAACCCTGAGAATTTTAAAAAATAAATTTCTTACCAGCTGGTTTTTGTTATTTAACTCATCTTCTAGTAAATAGATTGCAGTTTAAGAAAAAGAGAGAGTTGTTTTGTTTTTTTGGTACCGGGGATCGAACTTGGGACCTTGTGCTTGTGAGGCAAGTGGAGGCACCACTGAGCTAAATCCCCAGCCAGAGAATTCCTAATAGTGATCTAAAGAGGAGCCATTCTGGTAGAGATGTGAAATGACTGATGTGGGGTGATTCTGTTGATCCATCATCTGATCTGGGAGTTTCCTGTCTGAATCAATGACTTTTGGCCCAGCTCAGAGTTTATCCTACTTATTCAGCCTGGAGAGCCCATGTACATGTGGGCTTTGTTCAGTTGTATCATCATTTACTTATAAAGTGAGATCTTTGAGATCCCTATACCTAGATATATATTTTTGGAGACAGGGTCTCATTTTGTAGTTCTAGCTGGCCTTGAACTCACTTTGTAGCCCATGCTGCCTCAAACTTGCAGTGATCCTCCTTCCTCAGCCTCCTGAGTGCTGAGGTTACAATCGTGCGTGTGCCACCATGCCAAGCTGAGATCCCTATATTTTAAAATGGTTTTTTTTGTGTGATGATATTTACTAAGACCCCTTACTATTGCTTTAGTTTAGAGAATTGTGGGAATGAAAGTGACTCATTTTTCTTTGTTAAATATTCTAGTTTGTCAGCTGGTGGAATAGCTACAATAAGGCAATTAGCTACCTAGCCACAGTGCCAAAGTACCGTATCCAAGCAACAGAGATCGCCATACAGCAGGGACTGCTCAAGAAAGCCAAAGAAAAAGGTAGAAACAAGAAGTCAAAAGAAGAAATTCGTGACAAGGAGGAGAACATCATAAAGAACATTATAAAAAGTAAAATAGACATAAAGGGAGGCTACCAGAAACCCCAAATACATGATCTTCTCCTCTTTCAAATTGTCTTAGCTCCTTTTCACTTGTGCTCATATATAGTCTGGTATTGCCGCTGGATTTATAATTTTAACATCAAAGGTAAAGAATATGGGGAAGAAGAGAGACTGTATCTCATTCGTAAATCTATGAAGATGTCAAAGTCTCAGTTTGATAATCTAGAAGATCATCAGAAAGAAACTTTTCTTAAACGGGAGCTCTGGATAAAGGAGAATTATGAGGTGAGTAGTGACTCTGCTGTGACTTTATTTTTTATTTTTGTATTAAATTCTTTTATTGGTACATTGTAGGTATACAACACAATTACATTTCTCATTGGGAATTGTGCTTTT